GTTATCTCATTTACGCACGGGCGTGCGTAAATAAATATTTTGTTCATAGCGGCTCAATAGGACTTATGCAGGGCAAGCACGCGCGCTATGTTATAACACTATTTTTGGCTCACCAATGAATGCATTTCGATATCAATTCGATTGAAAAATGTCAAAACAGATCAAGGATGTCAGTTTTCTTACCATGGGATCTATCGGCTATCTCGCCGAAACCCACCGAAAATACCAACCGCGAATGGAACAGCGATTTCCCAGCTGATATTACATTTATTCGTTGTTGTTCATGAAAGCGCTAATTAAAATAGCAGCAAGACTGAATTCTACAACGGTTTGCCGGCCTCCCGGTTTACCACAGTTTGCACGCGTCGGTTAGCCTGATTGTTTGTAGTATTGTGACGTGCATTAAATGTCGCCTTTCGAACTATCTTCTCTTTTCTGACTCGCGCTTACTTTTCAATGAGAGTTTAACTTCAACGGCTCTTTGAACATTACAGGAGTAAATGAGGAGTTGGATTTTGTGTGTGCCTTTGTGTACAGAGTTGGACGCCATGGTAAGAAAACTGACATCCTTGATCTGCTTTGACATTTTTCAATCGAAGTGATATCGATGTGCATTAAATGGATTGCCAGAAATAGTGTTTGCGATTAAAGCATTCCGATATCACTTTGAAAAATATCAAAACAGATCAAGAATATCAGTTTTGACATTTTTCAATCAAAGTGATATCGGAACGTTTTAATTGGTATGCCAAAAATAGTGTTTGCAATTAAAGCATTCCGATATCACTTTGATTGTATTTTTGGTGGTTTCGGCGAGATAGCCTTCACGTGACGCCACGAGCAAGCTCGACGATTCGCCACAACATCGAAATATTTCATGTAATACTAAGCAATTTAATGTTGAGATAGAGCGTCTGATGTTCTGCAAAGCTATTCGACGTAACGCTACACCGTTTGTTTGTACGCTGTACCATTCGGCATTACGCTGAGCCATTTCACGTAGCGCTACTCTGTTTGTATGTACACTGTACCATTCTACATTACGCTGAGCCATTTCACGCAACGCTACACCGTTTGAGCGTACGCTGTGCTATTCGACATTGCGCTAAGCCATTTCACACAACGTTACACCGTATGTGTGTACACTGTACCACTCGACATTTCGTTGAGCCATTTGACGCAACGCTACACCGTTTGTGTCCTGTATTGCAAATGAGAGCTAAGCTATTCGCAATTGAGCTAGTCTATTTCACAATTTCATGTTCCAACTCGACATAGGCAACTAGACCGTTCATCATTTGGCTAAACTATTCATGTTTAGGGTGTTCTGTTTCATGAAGGGAAACTAAACTGTCTATATCTGGCTATGCCATTCCTTTATTACCTAAGCTATCCTGCAGCCGACCCTTAGACTTGTTTTGTATTTGCTGACCTATTTGACATCCTTGTATTTTTGGTGGTGACGGCCACTCATACAACTAGACCGTTTACATTTGGCTAAACTATTCATGTTTAGGGTGTTCTGTTTCATGAAGGAAAACTAAACCGTCTATATTTGGCCACGCCATTCCTTTAATAGCTACGCTACCCTGCAGCCGATCCTTAGACTAGCTTTGTATTTGTTGATCTATTTGACATCCTTGTATTTTTGGTGGTGACGGCCGCCCATACGCTTTGCTAAATGGAAACGAAAAAGGCTATTACTCAGGCTAAGGTTTTGGCACAGCTGCGGCGATAAAGATAGCATGCTCATTTTTACAAAGAAATAATGTCCGCGCAAAAGTTGCCATCGTTATTTTTGCACTGAAATGATTAACCTCTGCAACGGTAATGAACATGTTTTAAGCTATTAATAGGCCAAATCAGCATGGAAAAACAAAGACAAAATGGATCTAAAGTGGGGTCCGCTTCGTGAAGTGAGGATTACGATCATATAATAAAGCTACTCCATTCTGAGAACCACTGTCTGTGTTCTTGTCTAGCTTTGTCTATAACGATTCTCGGATAAGGATCGCGATCACCATTTTATGTCTCAAAAAGGGACTTGCTTTGATGATCAAGTTTTGTGATAAGAAAAGGTACACAGCAGTTAATGCGTTCACCATGACTCCATTCGTACGCGCATCTTGTGTCAGAGAACTTGAGATGAGAATGTATCGAGGTCATTTCCATTACTTCACCGGCCCTAAGAGCTATTACCCGAACAAAGCCATGGATTCCTCTCCTCCTCCCAAACCACCTGTGACGTTGATTGAAGACAGAGTAGCGAGAATGACCCTTGAAGAAACAGGAGACATGAGGGACTTTGCAACATCTCTAGGGAGAAGTGTCGGACAACATTCTTTCAGGGACAAAGAAGACACTGGCCATCTTCCTTATGCCTTGTAGTTTTCGTTACAAGAACGTGAGCCCTCTTCCAATGTGGAAACAACCGCTTTGATAGAGGGCCAAAATGACGCACAATTTTTTCGGCTTTTACCTTTTCTCTGACGTTCTTTTGACGTTTTGAGCTGTTGTTGAAATGTTTTAGTTGATTTTGTAACCTGCTCGTAATTGTTACATCATTTCGAATTGCGTGACTTAGCCCATTTTTTCTGTCAAGATAGGCGTCATAGTTATTTTTTGTCGTCTTTTGACAGATTCTGCAAGTGCAGGTTTGGGCTCGACCTCAAGCTTTTAAAAGCAGCCACTGATATTACATTTGGAGTTACATAGTTCCATCAAGAATATCAGAAAGAGAAAATGTATTTGATATCTTGTAATGAACAGTTTTCCTTTAACTTTAGTATCAGCTTGAGGCAGTCGGAAAAGCTTTTAACGAGTGAGCTCAAACACAAGCATTATGCTTGTTAATCTTGTTAATAGAGACAAGTCTTTTATTTTTACCTTCAAAGTCCCACTTCATCATGTAAAAGCTCCATACAGATGTATTTTTCCTATTGCCTGTTTTGTGGTTTTTCCACACGCGTGTTCGAATATCTAATCACGAGTGTTTGGATCTGTTCTTTACCAGGTATCAAGGGGCATCTATGCGACCCAAATGAGGCTACACAATTGGTTAATTACCTCATGCAATACGAATGAGTTTGAGAAGGTTTTAGAGACTATTGGTCAAGTGCGTTTCAATATGGTAAATTCTAAACACCGATGCCGTTAGTGTTTGTTGATTAAAATATATAGACCACATAGTATTGTTTTCACTTTTCACGAAAATCTTTCAGATGGAAAGTTGACAGAAATGAAACGAACATTTTTTTTCTTTTGAAACCTAAAACCTTTGGTTACTTGTAACAAGATGAACCACAAATTTGCATAATTTTTGTTGCATAATTTGTTCACTAATGCGCGACTCGGCACCTCCACTTTTCCACTTCCCGTGAACTTGAAATTTGACTTGGAAAACCGACTCTCAAACAAACCTTCTTCCGAAAAATGATCTTCTTAATGCACTACTTTTGAATGAGAAGCAAACTGATGAAAGCTATGAAATTTTCATCCCCTCTAATAATATAGATATCTCCCCTGTCAGCTGCTAAGAAATACTCCGGCGGGAATATTTTTTTGGCGGCAAATTGGAGAATGAAGCGCTTTCACCGGCAGTTTCAACGCCTTTTTTTTTTCTTAAAAATTTGTTTCTAAATTCTAAAATGTCTGTAATGCATGTTAATCATTCACGTGTTGCGGTAGACTTTTAAAAAAAAATTCTACAGTGGCAGCGCCGAGAGCAAAACAGCTTTTTTTTTTCTGCTCGCGAAAAATGTTTTCGGGCATGAAAAATTACTTTCGGGTTAGTAGATATACATCAAGTTTTATTTTTGGGGACGTACTGTCGATAGAGTTTCGCCAACCCGTGTTTGAGTGCAACAGTGGCGGTTCTTGCTCCAAATCTTGTCAGAACAGAGTGGTTCAGAATGGACAACATCTTCAACTTCAAGTCTTTAAAACCAAACTCAAAGGATGGGACTTGAGGACTTTGGAAAACATGAAAAATTTTACTTTTGTGTGTGAATATGCTGGTGAACTTATTTCAATCAAAGAGGCTAAAACGCGTGCGCAGGAACTGACTCATGAAACCGGAAATTACTTGATTGTTCTCAGAGAACACAGTTCGAATGACAACCAAATTCTAAGAACTCATGTTGATGCTCGTTTCCATGGTGGCACGTCAATCATTCATGCAACCCTAATCTGATAATGGTACCAGTGAGAGTTGATTCCATTGTTCCACAACTGGCTCTCTTTGCAGCCAGAAATATAGACATTGGAGAGGAACTCTCTGACTGTTCAGGAGAATTTGATCACTGGCACTCACATGAAATAAAAGTTGAACAGCATGAATTGAAATCTCTGCAAAAACGGGGCAAGGAGCGAAAAAGTTGTCAATGTGGTGCACTAAACTGCAGAGGCTATCTTCCCTTTGATTCTTCTCTGTATTCCTCTGAGAGCCACCTGCCAATCAGACCACTGAATAGCTAACTGCAGGCAGGCACATGGGAAGATTGGAATCAATAAACCTCTACAGCTGGTAAGCTTCAGTCACCAAACTGGATAAGTCAATGAAGAAAGAATGGAGAAATTCTGTCAGACTGAGTGATGTACAAAAAAGATTAGTCGAGGTACTGTAAGTGACTATTGCCCTACTGATTGCAAATAAATCAAACATGTTGCAAACTTTTCTTTTTTTTCTTTGAAAAAGTTGAGAATTTATTTGAAAGCCAGGCTTCAAAAACTCCCGTAAAAGTAAACCTTTTTTTTCATAGAATGAATATAACAACAAGTCACAGGGGGAGAATAATAATGAAAAAATATAGAGATGTCTTTTAATGCTGTACAAATAAGCCCATGATTATGTTGCAGAGAAGTTCATCTTATATCATTTCTGCAGCTCTACTACAAAGAACCAGGAACCAAAAATTAATTAATTGAGCTCAAGTACGCTGAAATGTTCTTGATGTGTTGTTTATTTATTTATTTATTTATTTTTCAACGAAAGACAATCACTAAAACTCTGCTGGTATGGTTGGTTCTTATTTTCTCGAGTATAATTTTTGCTAGATATACAGTGCTGATGACGTTTCAGACATTCTGTGATTGGGCCAGGAAACTCGCGCCAACCTCTCGACCAATCAGACGCAAAACCAAAACTAATCGCGCTTGCGTCTCTCGCGTTTCCCGCGCGTCAGGCATTTTTTTTTGTTTTTCCTTTGCGTTCTCCAGGGCCCCTTGTGGTAGTTTCTTTTTTCTGTTCGACTGAGGTGATCACTTTGAGTTGGTTTCACGACACCTAATGGAAATGCACTCTAACCAGTGAGCCTTTCACTTTGTGTCATTTTCTCCTTTCCATATATTCAGCCTTTTATCTGTGAGTGAAAAGAATTGAGAAAAAAATAATAAGCTTAAGCTTAGCTCTACGATTTTCTTATTAAAGTACATGAACATCTAAAATTCAGTGGGGTTAATTGTCAGTTAGAAACTTTCTGGAACTTGCGGGAGAAATGTTTATATTTCCTAAATCAAAAGTGATTTTTCGACTGAGGAAATAATCAGACAATTTTTTCCGCGTATTTTGAAACAGGATAGAAAGATTTTATTCATTTTCTTGGGAGCGGGGGACAGAAAATAACAGCAAAAACGGGTTTGTCTCTCTGGAGAGAAATTTAATCCCAGGCCTCTGGATCTCGTGAGCGTAATTTCGTGGTTGGATGCTTCACAACTGAGCTTTATAGAATTCGATACTGAGTCAGGCTTTTACTTTGTATGTGGTAAGCTTTAAAACAGCTTGATAAATCCGCAATTGCAACTCCATGCGGTCGACGAAGTCCTAGATTGTCTCATACTGGTTGTTAAAGCCATCAGCTTTGGCAATATCGACAAAGGAAGATGAGTTCTCCTTGAAAAGGTAGTACACTGAAAACACAAATTAAGGATTGTTCACAAGCTATAATTAGACGATATTTGATAGGGTAAAACTGCAATTCAGCTCACCAGGCGACTCTGTTTTACAGAAGCCACAGGAATAGGGACACCACTTTTTCATGAACGACTTCCAATGTTGGCAATATCCATCGTAAGATGCGAAATATTTACATCTGTTTTGATAGACATCAAGGCATTTACCTGGAAGAGAAATGACCCGTCAACTCTCTTTCTAATAAGAGGGCATTTTATTTCAGTGTCGTAAAATTAAAACCACAACTTATCCTTACGGCCAATCAGAACAAAGGAAAATATCGGAAGAAGCCAATGAGAACACGGAGTAAAAACAAGTAAACCGCCTGAAGCGCGGGAAAACGCGGTTGATGAAATGTCTAAGACCTAATTTTGATTGGTGGAGAGGGTGGAGCGTGTTTCTTGAGCCAATTAGAGAGCAAAGTTAAAATAAAACCAACGCTATCCAGGGTTACTCTGTATACTCAATTGAACAGAATATTTCATACAGGGGACAGCAAACATTGTAATTTCTGTTGGATCCGTCCCACTACGACTGTTTATTGTACAAATTAGCGAACAATATACAGACTAAATTTTGGTACATTATATATATATATTTTTTTTTTGCGGCAACGATGAGTCGGATAGCTGAAAGTGAGGAGAGTTAGCTCGTGCAGTGTAGTTAAATCCTGTCGGACAGCATAAAAAAAAACGCTCTTACTCTCTGGTGATCTCTCCTTCTTCTTGTCTTTTGGTTTCTTATCCCCAGCCTTGCAGGGGTAACTCTTTAACAGCTGTTTTATGTCAATTTTGCTAAAATCATCCATATTCCCCAAGGATCTGGTAGGATCCGCTAAAGACTCCAGTGTGTTTTGGCCGTTTTTGCTGAAAGCTTGGTTGTCGTAGTGCATAAGACTGTCGAAGTCGTACGGTTCTCCGACACTGTCGAGTCGTTCAGGACCGTAACTTTCGAAATTCTTTTCGAATCCTTCGAGAAATGAAACCCACACATCATTAGAATTTAACAGATGGATGCTGACGCCATGGGAATCTGGACAAGCAACCTCTCTTGTGTCACAACGTATCCACTTGGTCTTTAAAATTCCAGTTAATACCCTTCCCTCCCCCCCCCAGTCTTTTCATTAGGATGCCCCCATAAATAACTAAGTAAATAATGCTTAAGGTGTCAGATGTCAGATTATTGCTGTATGTTAACCGTTTCACAGTCTATATTCCAGTTCTTTGCATTGTCATTTCGTATTATTTTAGCTCTGAGAATTTGTAGTGAAGTCAAGGATAACCCTCCGGTTGATATTCATCAACGTCGTGATTGAAAATACATGGATATAGAGAATAGAAGTTCTTTCTTGGTCAGTGGTAAGAGTGAAAGGGTTGATTCAACGTTGAACGGAGCTAGTAAACTGGGTCGAGTACATCAAGTCGAGGCTAACGCTAATTTTTTTTTTCCCAAGGTGTACACTGTGACTTGGTGTAAAAACCATTAACATCGACAACAAAAATGCGTCAAAACAATAAGCTTGTCATTTCACGTCATTCTTTCTGCGTTGTTTACCAGTAGCAAGCCTCGACAATCGTGCCCAACACCTACGTTTCCTGGAACGGCCCAAAACATATTAAACTTGGTTTATTTACGAAAATACCTGGCTCAATGTTCCACCATAGAACCATGATATAGTCGTCCCTGTCAGTGCGAGAGTGTTCGTGAAAGAATCCCAGAGCATGCATGATCTCGTGCAGGACTGTTCCCTTATATTCGCATCCTTCACCGACAGAGAGTCGCTGCTTTCCACCCTGACGGCCAATGGCTGAGAAGCAGCTAAAACGTGGAGAAATTGTACGAATTAGCTTAAGGAAAAACGCTCTGCGATTTCGTATCAAGGGGTCTGGGTTCGAGCCTAGGTGGCAGTCATTGTGTTAATTTTTCTAAGACTTGTAGCTTTGAGTCATAGCCCAGAATTATGTCAGTTGGGAAACTTTGATTTTGCAATTATTTGCCTCAAGAAGTCTGTAGAAATGTGTCTAACCCGTAACTTCCTTGGAATTCCAGATAGTCCTGTTCGTTGGTGTGAAGGACGAATTTTACACAAGTCCTTCTGTGGAACTCGCGTATAGCTACCTTAATTGCCTTGATAGCTTCTTTACCTGAAAAAAAAGCAGGTTAAAGGAAATTAGGACAACCTCGACTATTAGGCCGACTCTTCGGAGGCGCGGCCACTCAGTCTTCGTAGTTGACTGCCGCTATCTGACGCAGCATGACACAAAGACACTTACTTAGGCTAGAATCTAATTTGTATGGCACTACGCCATCCGGCCATCTTTTGATCTTGTTGCTAACAATGTCACGTCTGGTCCTTGAGTTGCCCGCATTCATAACACGTCTGAGAGGTTCGGTCACTAATATGTCACCTTCTATTATCTCTGAGTAGTGAGAAAAAAAAAAACAGGGTTTAGTATTTCACCGGTGAATTGTCTGAGGTCGGTGAGGCAGCGAAGCAAATACTCGCTTATGTTGCGCTAAAAACTTGACTTCATGTCCCTCAAAATCTGTCCCTGACTTTTGAAGTCTTTTTCGATTTGGTTCATGAAATATGAGCAGATGCAGCTGGAGTCAATAAAACAATCAGAATTATAGCATTGACATTCCGCCAGCGGCGTCAAACGCGGAAAACGCGTTCATTCAGAAGAATATTATGTTTTCTTTTGCGTGTTGATTCTCTCACTCCTTTTAAGAATGTTTATCTTTTTAATTTTTTTTATATTTGTAACTCATCGTTGTTGTGAACTCCTTCATCAATTTCTCTTCGGATCTTGCTTTTTTGTTTTTCGAGGTGAACAATGGAAGATACAGTTTCTGAATTTAATCAGTACCCTCTGCTGATCAAATTGAAAAGTAATATCTTGTGTAAGACAAATTAGTCATTTCAGAACAAATGTCCAATATAAACATGTCTCTTGAAAATGCCGATATTGCCCACTGTTATTATACGGTTGTATCGAGCAGTAAAATTTTAGGCAATAGGAAGTTCTAGTTGTATATAGCTGAGACTGACATCCTTCAAAGTGAATGCGTGTGTTGAAAGGTCACCGCAATAAATGTCGGGAAGACACACAAGTTACTAATGACCAAGGGCTATCTTTCGGAAGTTTGGAGTCAGATTCCACACAAATCCATCAGAAACTAAGTGGTTTACGGGGGTGACAGATTAAAATTGGTCTCACTACTAAATTTGACAGCGGAGTTGTTCAACACGCTAGAAGTACTTCCGAAAGAAAACCATACGCGAATGGCGTGATATGATGAGGTACTACATTAATTAGTGGCCTAAAAAAAAAACAAAACAAAAAAAACAAGAACTCCAGTGCATAACAAAACTATCGAGACTGATGAGTGATGTGTGGAACAAATTGAGATGTCTCGACTTTTAGTCATGAAGGCTTAAAAACGCAGCAAATATATGATGGTCGTTTTATTTTTTGCTGGTCATTCTCACTGAAAAAGTTGTTCTAATGTGCTATTTAGTTTACTCGATATCTTTGAAGAATATCTGCGGTGCTAAAAGAACTATGATGAATTAAAACTGCAGGCTTCTCACGTACTCATAGTTCAGTGATACCCTTGACGATTCACTTGTAAGGAGTGTAGTAAGTATGTAAATCCTTAACACCAAAATCGCATTAAAAGAAAGCAAAATTTCCTACCGAGTAAATTAGGAAGGCTAGACGTTGCTCAATATTACAAATGATGCATCATCTTACCATCTTCGCTCTTGAAATTTCGTTGACTCGGGGCAGCATGTGCTGTGTTCGGGAATTGTATCATTTCTGTTGTCAAAAGTGTGGCCAAAACGTAAATTATAAGAGTTTTCATCTTCATGTTCCGATGCGTCTAAGTTTTCCCTGTTGTGAAAACAAACATTGATACTTTATTTATGGAACTGAGTTCACCGCAGATTTGCATATTAGATTGTCTACAGCAATAACTGATATCGCAATATTGCATACTTGCGTTGACAATAAACTACAAGTTGATAAGAGAGGGCTTTGTTGTGTAATGGAGGCCTCGCTTCAATACATTTATTTAACAACAAATCTCGTATTACACGGTTGAATACCAACGCTACTGCGTCCCGGTGAACTGATTAATTGACTCAATTGTTTATTAAGTTCGGGAATCTAATATTGTGCCGGCTTAAATCAGACGTAAAGTTTGGCGGTTCTCAATTAGACGCCGTCGTCATTCATACCTGAGAGGTCAAGACTGACAGCGCGTGTTAGCGGCAACAATGATAGTTGACTTTCGGCAGCTGCCTGGCAACTGCAAGCATGTAAATGTACGAAAGTACACTGGAGAGTAGAATTTTACTTGAAATTAGATGTTGCGAACACCTTGTCGGTTCAGTTCGCAGCCTTATTTGGTATTCTGAGGATTTCCTCGGGTCAGCGACAGTGGACGGAAATCCAAGTCTAAGAAGTTCTGCGTGAGCTTGCTTACTTAACTTTTAGACCATTTTGATCTGAAAATCCGATTGGGTTAAGAATCCTTAACTCAACGAACGTAACGACCGCTGGTAGATAAAAACTGTTTATCCGTCTTGCATTATAGCTCAGGCTTTGTTCAGTATCTAGACTATCTAGATTGTAAGGATAGAAAACCGCAGGCTTTTATCTTTGATGCAGGGTCATTCAGCGGTGTACCGGCTTTTCCGGTGACAACTCGATGGGGGAGGTCATTATTGGCAAAAAAAGCAAGTGGCTTTTCTTCTCACTTTTCTTTGCTGAAGTGGCCAATTATGATGAGTTTACTCTCATGGGACTCTTTCAGCATAAGCAGTTGATTTTCAATTGTCGCTTTCGACCTAACGTGTGTTACTTACGGACAACTTGATAACTTTGACCCGAGTTGTACAGCGCTGGTGGGAATATCCTTCCTGTGGTTTCATAAGCCGATCAGTAATTCATGAAAAGATTTTTCTCAGAATATGTTCTTGTGTATCGTCGGGAATGACTGTAGGGGAAAGGAACGAAATGAAAGGTATCTTGCAAATGCCGTGGTAAAACCTGACCCACTGACCAATCCTAATATAGAGCCGAACGTCGCATTCAAAGATACCTAGATGTTTAACATCAAATTTATCTGGCACAACATCAGACATGAAGCGTCGGCCTAGTGTTACGTATTTCAGTTCAAAATCATATGTCACAGTTTTCCGACTCGAAGTTGCTTGCAGAGCATAATTTTTTTAAAAACCTGCTGTCTGTCTCTTTACGGGGAAGAGCGATGGTGTGACAGGGTTTCAGTCCTTCCCGCCAACTCCGCTTCGTGATCGCGGTCCCTCAAAATGGCAACGACTCATCACAGGCTAAATTCTTCTCAGTACACGTCAGAAAGGTGACTGTGGTCGTCTGGTTAGAATTTTTACGAGTAATTACCGAAGAGATACCTTCATAGATGAAGCTTACTTAAGGCAACAGTAAAAAGATATTAAGTTCATTTTAGTAACAGCGTTCTTTCGTTGTAGACATTTCTACAACACTGCTTCTTTTCCAACAAATAAACTTTGGAGACATGAGCTTCCATTGCTTAGAATCTGTGGTATACGCATCAGTGAAACTCCAGAGACTTTGGGGTGGAAGCGGAAGTGTGAATAACTGATGAATCGTAACGGTAAAATTTGAAGGAATTATGGATTTTCGCTCGGTGGTTAAAGCTTGGTAATTATGAAACACGAGATATGGTTAGAAAATGGATCATAAATATCACAAATAAAATCTAAGAATAATAAATTATTGGGCTAAAAAAAAGGCAAGCATCACGAATCTTGAAGGTCAAATGATTCCACTCCCGTCCCCGAAGACGATGTGGACATCGTACTCTTGGATCGCCAACAGATGTTTCGATAACAGCAAGATAACAGATTCATTTGTTAAACTGACAGCACAACTTTCCTCGCGCTATGGCAGACGACTCAAGGACTCTCTATATCACATCTGCACTTAGATTTTTCACATTTTAAATGATGCAAGTCATGTGGTTATTGAAATTTCCTTTGCCTGCTTTCACACGCTGCTGTTCAAAAAATATTTACCACAAATGTTTATAGGTAAACTAGAAGTTTGGTTCTGTGAAGACATTTGTTTCTTTAAGTTGACGTCATCTCATAAGAAACATACTTGACATCATCTTTATGAACAGAAACTTTGCTCTCTTACACTGAGCCTGTTTCTTGGCTACAAATTACGCTAAAATTCTAAATCTACGACCGTAAAGAGACGACGTACTTCGAGGCTTTTAGCACCACATTAATGCCATACCAGTGTGCTTTTTTTTGTCCCTATTTTTCACGATTAGCACCGATCATATATTTGCGAAAACTGAAGCTACGCAAAAACACGATAATTCTCTCACCTCTGTGATGAATCTTTCTCTGCTAGCCGGAGGACTTAAATAATGCCTTCCCTGACTGTTTGATCTAGAAGTGGATATGTCTTGATGTTCGTGGTACTTTCTTGATCAGCAGATGGCGTGCGAACTTTGCAGGAAAAGCTTTTAGGTAATCTGACATATCCGCTTTAACAATTTCACTGCCTATCAAAGTGCCACTCACAACTGACATTTTTTTTTAGCGTTACACCGGAAATTGGAGAAACGTGTGAAAATTTGCTGTAGTGAACTTTGACTTCAAAGTGATTGTGAAACATCCTGTGAGTGACACATATTGCTTTGGTTTAGATTAGATTTCAAGTTCAATTTTTTAATATTGATGGGGGGCCTTAATTTTACACATAATCTTAAACAGTTTGCCATTAAAAGTGAAATCCAAGTTTAGGCCTCGAGCTCGACGAAATGAATCCCGGCTGAAATGTATTGAAACTCAACCAGGGTACATTTCTTCGCCCGAAGCGTTTTTTTATGTTTTGAAGGGCGGGGAGCGGGGGAGGGGAGCGGAGGGAGGGGAGTGGGGAGAGGGGAGCGGGGGGAGGGGAGAGGGGAGCGGGGGGAGGGGAGAGGGGAGCGGGGGAAGGGGAGAGGGGGGCGGGGCGCGGGGATTGTCTAAACGGCAATCATTGCGTAATGATTACTGAACGAAGTCTTCAGGGTAAGGACGGAACCCAACACAGGAAAGGTTAATTAAGTTATCCCTGAAAGAGTACGAAAAATATAAATTTAGAGATAACGAAAGAGTTGTACTATGTACATAGGAATGCCGAAAAAGAGCCCCCTGATCATAGATCAACCAGTCAAAGTTTAAAAAAAACAATCATAAAAGAGGAAATTGTTATTTTGATAAAGTAGAGATTTTAATAAACCAACCTAACAGTACAAGTCAAATATCTTAGATAAAGGAAAACCTAGCTTCAGGTGGAGGAAAAATTGCTTGCTAAATCCTTACCTAACTTGTTAAATGCCAGTTAAACTTAGTGGGTTCGTGTAATTACGGATTCAAATCAATCATCGAAATTTATAGATTGACTACACAAGGGCCTAATGAAAGTTCTGGTGAGTCTCGTCATCATAATAACAATTTATAATTAACCTCAATATAAAAGCTTTGTCTGTAACTGTGTCACGCTTGCTATAATAGATCGCTGATTGAAAATGATATTATTCTAATCACCCCAGTTTTTTAGCGTGAAATCATAATTTTAGGGGAAAAAATGGCATTAAGAGTCCTCGATTTAACAAAAGCATTAGCACAAAATTAGAAAGTCAAACGTCGCAATGGTTTTGGTCAGGGATAATTATTTTTCAACTACGATAGACACTATTCAAATCTTTGTTGCACATCAGTGACTCGTCTTCTTCTAAATTCGTAGCTAGGTACAATTTCACCTCTGGCAACAAAAAGGGAAACAAAGGAGGAAATCAAAATTAGTATAGATATTTCAAAAATATTGAAGGTAATTATGTAGTGATACTGCCACTACGCAAGAGTCCTACTGTAACTGCTTCCGCAGATAGAAATTAAACAGCAAATTTCAAGCTCGATCGTCACATAAACGAACAAAGATTCGAACCTCAGACTTTCCATTTTAAGGGGCGTTACTTTGCTACTGAGCCACACGGAGCTCTTTTGTGAGCTATGAGATACGTTACTCTGAAGAATGGTAAAAGTACCTGCCATCACAAGTAAAATAATGATCTCGACAATGATTTCCAGAAGTTATGAATCATTCTTTCCACACGCTCCCAAGCACTGTTGCACCCCAGCCGCGTGGTAAGACTGATAGAGATAACTTAATTTTTTCAAGTCATCAGTTGGGAAGGGGAAGGCAAAGTCCGATACCAGCAAGTAAGAAAACTTTGAAGCAAGCTACGACCCAGACTGCTCATTAAAGGCTCGTATGGGATAAATATCCTGCATATGAAGTACTGCAAGGATCAGAAAGGTCGAAAGCGCCGTGTGTAGTAATCAGATTTAGAGGGATGGTGAAGTTGTTCTTAATCTATAGCTCTTATGCAGGTATCCTCTTTGCCCCCGTAAAAGGTGCCTCACAGCTTTCCTCAATTCATTTTTCTCCATCTACATTGGCGCCTGTACGTATTTACAGAACGTTTGATTAAAGGGAAGTAAGTAAAGTATACGTTGTTTAAGTATCTTAGGAACTACGACGTACCTCGTCTACACTGGAAGGCTCGAGTGGGCTGTATGAAATCTTGTACCATGGTCAGAATCTGTATCTTCTCTGGTTCTTATCAGTGGAGTGTTCTCACCTGACCGATCTTCTTGTAATACGAGGCTACGCTCGAGCGGCATGAATGATACATCCTGTTGCTCAGTTACTTGATGCTCTCTTCTCTCATAGCGATACCTCTGTACTAGGCGTAGTAAATAGAAGATGTAGGGAAGTAAAGCCATCACCAGAGGGACGTATGCCAAGATCCTAACCCACGACTGCAGACCAAGTTTAGTATTTTCGGAGACCTCTGTGTTGGTGGGAAGACTGAAAACTCCAATGGCACTCAGCGTCATTAAGATCACCAGGTCAGACTCGTTGATGTACAGGTTTTTCTGGGAACCCTCTGCCTCTCCTCTCGGATTTTGATCTCCTTCAGCATTGCCTTCATTTGCCACTGTTTGTTGTTCTTCCATTTGGTTGCCACCCGCACCTACACGGATTAGTTCTTGTGGAAATGGAGTTTCAATGATGCCTGGACTTGCTTCTCTCGATCTTTGTCTTCCTACAGTCCTGTTACCACTTTGCGTTGTCGCTTGTAGAACTTCGTTTTCATTGCCACCATGGTTCCTTTCTGTGTAAGGCCTCACAGTTGCAATGACAAACATGAAGAAAATGCAAAAGAACAGCAACAACGAGGCTTTCAGTGGGCTAGTAGGCATGAAAGTGCTTATAAGTAGCAGCACCAGTCGACACACAAGGTAGTAAGCCACAAAAGAGCGATATCCAGGCTTGAGACAAGCGTGCAAAGTTTCAAGTCGCAAGTTTGACTTATGCGGGCAGATTACAAGTCTTAACGGGATGTAAATAACGAACAGCAGAAGGAAAATAGCGCCGATTATGAATATACCGTGCAAAGGGCTGTCAAAGAATTTAACATTACCATCATCATACAACACCCACCGCCTACCAACCTTCACGAAATGCAAGAGACGCAGTGCAATGTTGGTTATGTCGACATAGCACAAAACTACAACAGTGAAGAAGGCATGGTCGAATCCATTCTCTATACGTGCTCTGAATGAAGTAGACAAGAACTCCAGCCAGCTCGCAACTGCGTTTCGACAGAAACAGCCACAAAGACAACGCTCTCTGTCGTTCAGTCTGTTAACTAGCCTGTCCAACCCCCTGCTCCAAGTTTTAATCAACACCCATCTTAACAAAGGCAATATCAGAAGGATTTCAGCGATTGGAAAGAGAGCCGATATGGCCAGCTTGTCAACATTGCTTAAACCAGCCGCGAGACAAACGCCACGTCTACCTCCAAGTTGAAAGTTAGTCAGTCCGATGAGAAATTCAATAAAAGAATCGAAAGTAAACCCTTCTGGAGTGAGTTTTTTCATGATTTGATATGAGTACAAACAAGCATTTAGGTGTCCCCCTGACAGATTCGGATTAACCAACAACACGAAGCAAGTAACTATGATGAGGGCTATTACATAGAGAGAAATCATCCATAGCCATTTATCAGAGCAATCGGATGAGCATTGTTCGCTGGCAAACATGATACTGTAATCACGCTTGCATTGGCCACAAAGTACACTCGTCTGGTTTCTGCCCTTTTCGCACACTGTTCCGTTGTACTCGTACTCAGAAGGAAATATGGACTTGTGAGTGGTACAGTATCCGTCGGGGCAGAGATGTGTTGTGAAATCATCGCCCACTTTCCCAGCCCAATATCCTTTCTTCAGGTAAACAGTCTTTTTGTCATGTAAGTCACACCGTGCTATTCCTGGAGATTTCATGCAAACGCAATTCTGAACGGAACTGTTATAAATGAAGCCTGCGTGGCAATTCTGCAAAGTGACGTTTACGATTCTTTCCTGTAACAGTTCTCTTGCCATGTAGTGCATAACCACCGTGAACACACTCTTTGGCTTTCCAGTCAGACTTAGAGAAGATATTTGTCCGTCAGCTAGAAAGAGCGTAGAGGTAGTTCCAAGTTTAACTAGTGGTGCTTTTTCAGGAACATGGATATCAATGTCCACAATGCCAACGACGGTGTTCCCTATCTCGTCCACTAACCTTAATGTTGCGTTAAATACTTGTCCTGGAGCAACTTTCCAATCTTTCCGATCAAAATGTAGTTCTACAGCATCAGTTGTTACTTCGTTCTTTCTCAAGGAAATCTCACCATCTGACCTTTTGAAATGGATGAATTTCCACTTGAGCACTGTGTTGTCTTGCCGAGACTCACCAGGCCGCCGACAGTTCTGTAGAGTTGTTGCGTATATAGAGTTTCCTTTTTTATCATCAACTGCTTCATTGCCTTGAAAAATTACAGAAGTATTCCAGTATTGAAAGTCTCGTGTGTCTTGGTATCCGAAAAAGCAATCATGAATGTCCACACCAGTTGCGTTGAAAGCCACCATTGGAGATCCAGCAGTTTCAATGTACATTGCTCCTCCTTTGTGGTCACACGAATTGTTGTAAAAAGATAAGGTCGAATTCTTCTGAAAAATAATTTTTGAATAGCCACGCATTGCCAAGGCCCCTCCTCTGTAACCATGATTATTGATAAAATTGACATGATCGCTTATCTTTGTCACCGACCCATCCAAGGACAATGCCGTGTTCGTATTGTTTATAAACAAAGTTTTCCCTCGGAAGTTAAGGATTACCCCATCACTGTACAATGCACCTTCGCCTATCATAACACCTTCATCTAAAACGTCAACTTGGTTCCCTGCAAACGTGCAGTCTTTGAAGCTGATCGAGATTGGAATTCCCGAATCAACCTGGACTTCCTGTTTTCTATCAAGCATGACCGCTAGTGCAGATCCTACCGTTGCTTGGTTGTCTCGCCAGATACAAAGGTTGAACATCCCCAAAAAGTGAGTCTCCGTATTAGAAGAGCCCCATATAGATCTTCCATACAGTGACACACC